TTACATGCTCGATTTTCAATTGACTCACACGCGCCGGAAAAGCGATGATCACATGACTTGAAATCCGACCCAAAGTTATTTTAAGCCTGTTCTCGAACGTTCTAGACTGTTCTACACAATAAACATCTGATATCCTAATTAAGATGTAACGCTCGTTGTCGTCAATCACAACAAAACATGTCCTAATATATCAACATAAGGATCAATAAGTCTTCGAATCAACAGTCCATCATCAAAATAAAAGAAAACGAATAAACTCGCAAGCTCATAAAGCTAGAGTGAGCGTGTAAGTCCCTATAATGTCACGCAATGTCACAAGTTTTCTACATTGTTTCGGGGCTGCCCCCAGAGGGCTACCACCAAAAATTTCCCTTGATAAAGTTGTGCGCACCTTGCCACCCAACGGGTCGTGATTGTTGAACTCCTTAAATAGAACTGAGTGGACATATAAGACGTTTTCTTAAACGCGTTGCAACATTTCGAATGCGTTTTATAACTAGCTTAGCTTTTTTAAGATATTAGCTGAAATGTACACGTGAATTATAATTAATTTTAAAGTGAAGTTACCTACCCTCCAGCCCTTAAGCTTGTAGCATAACCGGTCAATACAACTAAAACCAGAATTGCCAAAAACAGCGAGCTTATAGCCTTCATATCCAGTTTGAACAGCCGATGACTGATAGTAAGAGAAGCCCTGCAACAAGGAAATTGAAAAGTTATAATTTTCCTCTTGCATAAAACTTTCCAATACCAATCCATTCGCCCACATATGCATCTGGTAAACGTTAAACTACTTTAAAAAATGTTTAAAACTAAAACGTGGGGCGAGTATTTTATTTTTTAGGTCAAACCCCTCGTAACGAGGGTCGTTTTGCGACCTTGACAGTTCACTGCTGTTCCTATCTTCTTAGAAGCGCATTATTACTCTTTTCGAAGCAATTATTATTTCTCCCGCGAAAATTTTTAGAGCTACTAAGCTCCCAGAAACATTAAATTTTCCTTTCAGGATAACAATACTGCAGCATCCGATGCAAAAGAAGTCAGCTGACGACTCTAGTATATTCATTAAGTTTTATTTCAATTAAATATTCATTATATCCGTCTAACTTGCCACTGAATTTCACTCTATCCGCTTATACGCAAAGCAGATTATGTCACCGCCATTAATATGCCAAAAAGTCATTCTTAGGCACTACACTCATACAAGTACAAAGATATTCACGAGCGGAAACGTTAACTGACTGCAATCAACACTGCCTTTGCTGAACCTGCAATGAAGTTTCAGCAAAAGCCCAAAGCAATGTCATTTTGTCCACAATTTTATAGCTTCTCTGTACCAGCAGTTTTTGCATGACGCAGCCGTTTTGAAGCGCAATATCATAAACGTATCAAACGATCTTTGAGCGTCTATCCGGAGTATTAGCAATACACTGTATGGAAGAACTTTTTCAGATAGCACGCTTACGCGTTCCTCCGAAGAAAGAACGCTTGATCGCACCTCGCTTCAGCAAAACAACTGAATTTAAACTTTCTGTGTTGCTCAGTCAAAATGCCAAAAATGCCTCATCACGGCGTTGTTCACCGCCGAAGCGGTGTTATGAAGCTGTTCAAGGAAGTAGTAAATTTTTCGGGAATATCCAACTAGCAACACGCAGTTTAAAGAACTGTATTTTATTCCCACATTCAAACGATCTACACTCTAGCGAAGTATGCACTCAGCTAAGAGCATTCCACAGTTTCCTAATGAAACAATGTCTCTTTTTAAGGTCTTCTCTAATTGCGTGATATATAACGTGAGATTACAAACCGCAAGATAAGCGTTAATTCTTCAGTAATAAGTTGTCAATCATTACTTCCATTATTATCAGTATCTAATAACATGAACACGAAAGGGGGCGCGCGTTGCGTTACAATGACAATATTTCCGACATTAATTTCAAAATTGTTTTCTTCCTTGTCAAAATATTTTTAAACTTTAATTAGATTCTGCCCATAGATAATGATCACTTGTATCGATCTTTCCAAATGTACGTTGTTTCCCGTTGAGTGAAGAAAGTTTCCAAGTTGTTTCCTTTTCCATAATTCACATTCCAAAGTTTAGCTACGTATCTACGTATCATTACCTTTAATTTTGTACACCAAGCGAGGTAAAACTTGACTCTGTTTACGAGCATGAGGGTTACCCCAACACTTACACACTTTTTTCTTTCTTTCTATTTTTCGTCGACGTGCTTGCGAGCAGATTATCAGCATACCTTGCATTGGCAACAACATGGTCATCTTGTTTTTCGCATCTGTTTTATATTAAACAATTAGATTATGAGCTCGAGATTTCTATCACGCATAGAAATCGAGAGCCAATAATCTAATTGTTTTAGTATAAATTTACTAGTCGTTCAAAACTTTCATCTAGAGTACGTTCCTTTGGGGTGAGCGGATCCGTATGGAGGGGAAAACCCCGATAAACGTCTTCATTTATAGATGTCAAGGAATATTTAATGCCAATGTATTTAGTGAGCTAGTCGTACATACCGAAA